AAAATAAAAAATAAAAAATAAAAAATAAAAATAAATAAAAAATCAAAGACGGAAGAGTCGGTGAACATTAATGTACCCCAAGGCACAAGTAATCAGTGTCTCGGGGGTGGGATAAATCACAAGGGGCTAGTAGGACAAGGACCAGCCAACATGCACATTACTCTGGGAGAAGTGTGATGGGCGAGGAAGATTCAGAGCAGCTTTCTTTTCTCTTTCACTGTGAGGGGGATTTAGGGATGCAGGGAGGGTGACAGGGGGAGAGGGAGAGGGCGTGAGGAGGGATGCACCTTTACAAGCTGGTGAGGAGTTGGAGCTGGGCGAGGGGCATCAGCCACTCAGAATGGGGCTGTTGGCATGAGCTCAAGTTATGATCAGAACACAAGGGGAGAGTTTACATTTTTTAAAGTGTTACATGAAAAGACACATTGCCATGAATTCTCCTCAAAAATCCTCCCCTCACCTCTGTCCCACTTGTCCCATCCTTCCTGCCACTTTCTGAAGCAGTTCTGGAAGTCCTTTTTCTTGAATGTCTTTACAAAGTGTGATTCAAGAGAGTGAATGGCCCTGCCCGGTGCTGCCCACTAGAAAGGCAGGCTCACAAACACACGAGGGCGTGTCCTCACCCACCTTACCATGCGACTTCTGGCTCTTCCCCAAGTCAAAATGATGATGAGAGATAAATGCTGTGAACCAACTCGAGACACTGAGGCAGCCACAACAGCGCAACTAAACACACTCAGGAAAGAGAACGTCCAGGACTGCTTCACAGAGTGGCGAGAATGATGGGCTGAGTGTGTGCAAAGTGAGGGGGAGATTTTGAGAAGGATTCATGGCGATGTTCTTTCACTGTAATGCACTTTTAAAACCTGTGAACACTCAGTGTCGTTTGTGATCACAACGCGTACACTGGCCGCCCGTGGAAGAAAGGGCCTTGTTACAGGGAGTACTTACTTTTGAGCTGACTAGGAGGGTAAAAACTCATGAAGGCCATACACTTTTTGAAAAACTCTTCAAAGTTAAAAGTAGGGGGTAGTTTTAAGAACTTAACCTAAACAAAACAAAACAAGAAGTTTTCAGTCATTCCCATTATTATCTGGCCCTTCGAGTACAAATTTCTCAGCAGAAAATAAGGGTGTAAAAGTGTATGCGTTTGAATGTCTTGATAACTGTGGTTGGTATACTTAAACTCTAAAGATCTTGAATTGGTAAAACTTGTTTTTTTTTTTTTTTTGAGACAGGATCTCACTATATAGCCCAGGCTGCCTTGAACTTGCCATCCTCCTGCCTCAGCCTCATGAATGCTGGGACTACGGACATGAACCATGGTGCTCACAAATTGAAATTTTAGGGCTGAGGATGCAGGTCAGCCAGAGGAAGTGTGCTTATCATGTACGAGGCTCTGGATTCAATCCTCAGTTCAAAGAGCAAAAAAAATTGTAATTTCTCCAATTATCTCTTAAGATCTCCGTGCTCTGTTTATATACGCAGAAGGCCACTCCAGGGAACAAACTTTTATATTTTTCCACCCTCAGAACCTTTTTCTGACTTTTTCCCTTTCGAATAGCTTCATTCTGATAAAACCTGGCCAATCTGTATACCGTTTCTTTCTTGAAAGTGTTAAAGGACAACAGGGGCTGATGCCCAAAAGGGTATTAAGGATATCAGCGTAAGACCATGAACTCCATGATAGAGTACACACTGAGGACCTCATTTTGATGATATTCTTGGGCAAAAAAAAACTGCATACATTCAGTTCAACAATGAGAAAACACACAGACAAAACCAAATTCAGGGGCTGGACACAGTAACTGATCAACACACTTAGTTTTGTTTTTGTTTTTTGATACAGGGTCTTGCTTAGTAGTCAGGCTGGCCTTGAACTCACTATGCAGCCTAGCCTTTTTTTTGTTTTTTGGTTTGTTTGTTTTTTTTTTGTCTTTTTGAGATAGGGTGTCACTATGCAGTTCAGGCTGGCCTTGAGCTCACTTTGTAGCCCAGGCTGGTCTCGAACTCGAACCGATCTGCCAGCACTCACTTCCTCCTGAGTGCTTGGGATTACAGGCGTGGGCCACCATGCCCGGCCTGTAGCCTAGTCTGACCTCAAACTCATTGCAATCATCCTGCCTCAGCCTCCCAAGGGCTAGGATTACAGGCATGCACCACCATGCCTGTCTCACACTTTTTAACTTTTTGTTTTTTTGTCTTTGTGGTACCAGGGATTGATCCCGAGACCTTCATGCTGAGCTATATTCCCCATCCCTTTTTATTTTGAGCCAGGGTCTACGTCACTAAATTACCCAGGCTGAGCTGGAATTTGGGATCCTCCTGCCTCAGCCTCCCAGAGTGGTGGGATTACAAGCACATACAGCACCACCCAGCTTTGTCTTCCTTTTTTCTGCCACGCATTCCCATTCCAGGCAGCATTGCATCCCTTTCGCTGCATATGTTCAAGGCACAGTTTCTCGAAGTGATCTAAGACAGTGCAGGTCCATCTTCAAATTAACCAATGTTTCCCCAACATCGAGCTCAGGGAAAATCTCTCCTCCCTCCCTGAGCTGTTCCGGTCTCCAATCCTTATCCTCTCCCTGGGTTTGGAGGGTTCCTTAGTGACAGCGGGGGCGGGGCAGCCCTCAAAACCACTCCCCTCTGCTCCTGGGGAACAGGGAGATCCTTCCTGGTCCTTCTCCCTACAGCTGCACATCCTGAGGAGCAGAATCGCCTCCTCCTGGAGCTCCCAGCCCTGACTCCTTCCGCACACACGGCACCCTAGACTGAAGCCACCTCCGCTCTTCTCCCGCAGCCTCAGAATCACGCTCCTTCCCGGGCAGCGACCACCAACCTTCACTGCTCTCTGCTCCGGAATCCTCTCGATTTCAATCATGCTCCGGTCACAGAGCTGCCAGCAGTTGGGGGACAGGATGACGTCGTTCATCAGCGCCATGTTCTGTGCCATGCGCACGTCTTCCACGGCCTGGCCAGTCACCAGGAAATAATTGTGCTTTTCGTCCCCAAAGACCACCATGGTGATGTGGCCGGCGGACAGCCCTGGAGAGGAGGTGGGTGACATACAGGTGGGCATGGGAGTTGTGGGTTGCAGCCCAGCAACTCAGGAGCTTGGTTGGAACCTCACAGTAAAATCTCGTTCTAAACTTTAGTGTCAGAGCCGGCTGTGGAGCCGCTTGCCTGTGATCCCAATACTCAGGAGGCTGAGGCAGGATCGCTCTGAGTTCAAGGCCAGCCTGGACTCCATAGTGAGTCCAAGGCCAGGCTCAACTACATAGCTAGACTCTGCCTTAAAAAAACAAAAAACAAAAAACCACTTTTTTTCGGGGGGGTGTATCAGGAATCGAACTCAGGACCTTGCACTTGCCAGGCAGGTGCTTAATCCCACTTTAATGTAGAAATAAGAGAACGCTACTTCCAGATCCCTGGCCTTTGAAATCCAAAATGCGCATTTCTTCAAGGGCTAGAAAGTTCAGCAATAGTTTTTGTACTTCCAGTATAATTTTCTCCCTTGATGGCCCCATCAATTCCTAAATTTATTTGTATTTTGTCTTCAGTTTATTAATACTAAAGAGCAACAGAAAACTTTACTTATTTGTTATTTTGAAATGCTGGGAAATGAACCTAGGACTTTTTACTGGGCTACATCCCCAGCACTGCCCCCTATCCTTTGTATTTAATTTTATTGTTCTTGAGACAGAGTCTCACTATGTAGTTCCAGCTGACCTTGAACTGGGGATGACCCTCCTGCCTCAGCCTCCTGAGTGCTGGGATTACAGGCATGCATCACCATGCTGTGCTTCCCAGTCCTTTTTTATTGTTATTTTTTTTTTAAATTTTGAAACAAGGCCTTGCTGAATTGCTAAGTTGCCCAGGCTGGGGTCCCTTTGCCAGCCTCCTGCTTCAGCGTCCCACATGCCAGGATGACAGGTGGATGCTGCCATGTCAGGCAGAAAACAACTGCAAATTCCTGTTTGGGGAGGATTTTCATCCCATCAGAGGTTGGGATTTCACCTGAAAAAGAAGTCCTAGCATCTCATTTCAGGTAACGACCTGACGATGAGGGAAAAGAAGTCCCAGGTCCCATCCCACAGTGCTTTCTCTAATTGTTTTCAAGTTGGAAGATGGGAGGTTTTGGTGCCCGAGCAACAGAAGAAAGATGTGAAATGTGATACGTACACAAAGTCTATTCATAAAGGCACCGTGAATGACACGCCGTTTCTTTAAATGACTGCAATGAATGCAATCAAAGTCTACTTCCCACCTTGACTCTCTGCTGTGATGATTTGTCAGTATGGATCTCACACACTGATACTATATATCCTGTTTTCCATCTGAAACACATGGAAAAAACATGATGGAACCATCTCTCTCCCAGTCACTTGGCACATACATGAGAGCTTGGGTTCACATCTGTCTCAAGAAGGATGATATGGTTGTGCATTCCTATAATTGGTTGTGCATGCCTGTAATTGCAGCACTCTGGGAGGCTGAGGCAGGAGGATCCCAAGTTCAAGCCCAGCTTGGGCAACTTAAGAATTTAGTGAGATTCTGTTTTGGGATAAAAATATAAAAAGGGATAGGGATAAGCTCAGTGCAAAGAGCAAGGATCCAATCTCCAGTACTGGGGAAAAAAAAAGATAATATATCAGTTTCTCTGGGTGTTAACTGTGATACTGGAGAGTGAACCTATGGTCTTCAAACTGAACTACAGCCCCAGCACTTTTTATTTTAAAACATTTTTTATTAGTACATGGTCACAGTACATAATCCCCGCCCTTTTTTAGAGAAATCGGTAACAATTTTTTTGACACAGAGTCTTGCTAAGTCACTGAGTTTCCCAGGCTGGGCTCAAATTTATAATCTTCCTGCCTCAGCCTCTCAGATTACAGGCACACCACCCTGAGCTGGGAATTTTGAATAAAAGCAAAATGATGCATAGGTTAACCGTTAATTGGATGATCTCATCCACTCTGACACTTGCAGACTTCTAAGGTTTACAGGATTTGGGTTAGGCAGAAGCTAACACCCTCAGCACCAACCATAGCTCTGGTTATTCCTCAATATTTCCTCCTCTCAGAATCTCACCTCTCACTGTGGGATGGGCACAGGGATGTCTCTCCCTTGGGACTTGTTACAGTTTATGTTTAGGTGTCCCCACAAAGCCTCATACAGTCACAGGTGGGGCTTTTTCAGAGGTGGCTGGATCTAGAGTGTGTGATGCTGGAATTGATTCATAGTGTAATGCTAGGATCAAGGACACTGGGATTAAGGGTGTGAGTGCTACCCACCCTAAGTAGCCTGGATAAGTTATAAGGGATAGAAAGAGCTGCAGTTATCCCTTGTTGCTTTGTTATCTTCTGTCTACCATGGACTGTTTCTCCTCTGTGATGCCTAACTGCTGTGCCACCCTGCCTTGGAGCCAGCCAGTGATGGACTGAAACCTCTACAAAATGTGAGCTAAATAAATCTTTCCCCCTTTAACTTTGGATCTCAGATATTTTGTCTTGGCAGTGAGAGAGAAGTACCTAAGACAGAATTTGGTACCAGAGAAGTGGGGTCATTTCTGTGACTATACCTGACCATGTGGTTCAGGAGCCTTTAGGATTAGCTTGTGGGAAGAGATTTGAAAGGTTTGGAGACACTAGCTGAAAAGGTAGTGCTGGAAAACTTTAGACTGTTCTGTATGGAAGATTCTGGTCAGCACTCAGAAGACCAGAAGGCTGATAGAAATTCTCCTGGTAAAGACCAGACTCAGGAGGTTTCTGCTGGGAAGGACCACATTGCTTGTTGGACTCCAGACAGTGTGTGTTATGGTTTGGCAGAAAGTTTGTCCCCATTTTGCTTATGTTCAGAGACTTTGCCTGAGACTGAGATTGAGGGTGGCAGACTAATTAATCTTGCAGAAGAAATTTCAAGGCAGTCTAATGTTGAGACAGTGGCATGGCTACTGTTAGGGGATTTTAGCCAGACTTATGTTGAGAGTCAAGAGCAAAGAGCTTAGTAGGATGATTTGAAACACTGTGAGTTTGGCCAGAAAGGAAGTTCTAGTAAAGTTGTGGTCTGTAAAGAAGGAACAGAGGAAAAATTGGTCACTAAAAAGACTAACAAGAAAAAGCCAAGTATTTCACAAGAAGATAACAACAACTATAACAAAAAGATGGCCTGAGGACATCACAGGGACCAGCAGGACTCCAGCCTTTGAAGCTTCAGAGTTGCAAAGGTGAAAGACTTTGCTCTGAGAAAAGAGCCCCAGAGCCCCATGTTCCAGAATGATGGCAGCCTAGAGAATCTGTTCCTCAGGATTGGGTACAAGATGCTCTGTGATCCAGGCATTCTACCCTATGATCAAGAGAGAGGGAAGCCTGGCTACTGCTCCAACTGGCAGTAGACCTTGGCATCATCCACATGGTGCTGATTTTAGGTGCATGCTGAATGCAAGAGTCGTGGGGTCAGGAAGGCTTCTACTAGATTTCAGAAGGCCTGGGAGGCCAGGTGGTGTGCACCTGAGAGGGCAGTGTGTTAAGCTGTGAGTGTGAAGCCAAAGGTGCAGTGGAGACTCCAAAAGTTTGGAGAAGCCAGGTAAGTGGATTGTCTTAGGAAAACTGTAAGGAGGGGCAGAGCTGGCCCCAGACAGAAGCCATGGGAACTACAACCACCATAATGGTGGAGCCACACAAGCCCTTTGGAGTTCACAATTTGCCAAGGATGCTGGCAGTGGAACTGTGGGATTTAATGTTTGCCTCGTTGGATTTTTGTCTTTCTTTGTTCCCATTCCTTGCTATCTCCCTGTTTGTAACTTTTGGGATGGAAATGTCTATTTTGTGCCATTGAATGTTGGAAGTGTTTAACTTTCTTTTTCATTTGTACAGGGGCTCACAGCTGAGTTGCCTTAAATCTCAGAAGAGACTTTGGACTTGGACTTTTCCACAATGCTGAAACTCTTAGGACTTTGATGACTCTTGGAGGTGGACTAAATGCCTGTCTGCCATGCCACCCAAGGATGGACTGAAATTTCTACAAACTGTGAGCTAAATAAATCTTTCCTCCACTAACTTTGGATGTTAGGCATTTTGTCTCTGCAATGAGAAGAAATAACTACTACAAGACTGTAGAGCATGCCTGTAACCCTAGCACTTTGGAGGCTGAGGCAGGAGGATTGTTAAGAGTTTGAGACCAACCTGGGCTACAAAGTGAGCTCAAGGCCAGCCTGAACTGCATAGTGAAACCCTGTCTCAAAAAGACCAAAAAAAAAAAAAAAAAATTTAAAAAAAGACTGTAGAGAAATGAAAATGACGGTAATGTCTCTAGTGCAATGTGGAAATGTGTGTGCTTCTTACCATATTATACATATGTGCCTAAGAATCCCTGTATAAAGCTAGAGCTGTGTCATTTTTCTTTTTCTCTTACTTTTTTTTGTTTGTTTTTTTGAGGCACAGTCCCACTATGTAGTTCAGGCTGGCCTTGAACTCACTATGTAGCCCAGGTTGGCCTCAAACTCATGACAATCCTCCTGCCTCAGCCTCCAGAGTACTGGGATTACAGGTGTTCACCATGCTTCCTCTTTCTCTTTCTCTCTCTTTCCCTTTCTTCCTTCCTTTTTCTTCTTCCCTCCTTCCCTCCCTCCCTTCCTTCCTTCCTTCCTTCCTTCCTTCCTTCCTTCCTTCCATCATTCCTTCTCTCCCTCATTCCTTCTCTCCCTCCTTCCTTCCTTCCTTTCCTCCTTCTTTCTTTCCATCCTTTGTAGTACTGGAGATCAAACACAGGGGTGCCCTTCCACTGAGCTCCATCCCCAGCCCTTTTTTTTTTGTATTTTGAGACAGGGTCTCACTATGTTATACAGGTTGGACTCAAATTTGGTATTCTCCTGCCTCAGCCTCCCACAGTGCTGAGATGACAGGCATGTGCCACTGTACTCAATCTGTTAGGTTTTTCTTGCATGTCACTCTGCTGAAGGGGGGACAGACTAGGCTCATGTCATTGCTGAATCTGTGTACTGACAATCTGCTCTCATGTCCTGAATGCTTCCCAGCCTTGACAAACAGCAAGATATAATAGCAGCGTGACAGGTATAATGGCCATTTTGTTGAGTGGTTGCTATTTACCAAGCACTCCATGAGCTCACTCACCTTCCATAGAGGCCTGTTAGGTAGATACCATAATTAATCCAGTCCTCTTAACTGGTGTGTGAGGAAGCCACTATGGGTGTCCTGGTCACCCTGACTCAAAGGTTAGGGTGACCCCCACTGCTGCATCATCTGTGCTGCCAAATCCATACCTATCTTCACTCGAATATCCAGGCCTTCTTCTTCCATGTCCTTGTTTTCAAAGAGGCCATGGATCTCCAGGCTACATTTGACAACCACAGTGATGATGTTGTTCAGTTGCTTCCGTTCCACCTTCCACAGGGCTAGCAGTGCGTCACCTTGAAAAGACAGACACCCAGGGGCTTTGCACCTGCGTTGGCCCTGGCGCCAGTGCACTCTGGGTGAGGCTGAATAGCCATTCATGCTCTACAACCCTGTCCACAACCCACCTGCTGCCCTGTCCTACCCCACTCGCATCCATCAGTGTACCTGCAAATTTTAGGATGTCTCCTCCAAAAAGCAACACTTCTGAGAAAAAAAAAAAAAAAAAAAGAGAAAGGTGTTAAATCAAGGTATAATTCCTTTCATTTATTTATTAATTTTTTGGTAGTACTGGGGATTGAGCCCAGGGCCTTTGCACTGAGCTACACCCCCAAAGCTTTGTAAATTTATTTTGAAACAGGGTCCTGCTAAGTCACTAAGCTGCCCAGGTTGGGCTTGCATTTGCAGTCCTGCCTTAACCTCCCAGAATGCTGGGATTGCAGACGTGCACTACCATGCCCAGCTAAGTCTGATTTCTTAAAGATAGTAAAAGAATTCATTCCTTAGTAGACCAGAAACAGGGTCAGGAGAACAGCGTTTCAGAAAGTAGATTTCTACTGAAGATGTTATCTCACTAAACCCACATGGTCTGTTTCCTCCACTGTGGGCAGAGCATGCTGGCCCAGCTTGAGTCTGGGCTCCATCCTGCAGATGGGAAGACAGAAGAGAGGAGGTGGGGTTTCCGGTGAGGACTGAGGACAGCTGCGCTCCCCTGGGGACATGGGATGCAGTCTCCAAGTGGGCTGGAGTGGGCCTGAGCAGGTGGGTGAGCGGCCAGGCTCCCCAAGAATGGGAGTCAGGAAATGGGACATCAGAGCCATTGTCAGCTTGGGCATTGTGTCCCATCTTGGGTTTTTCAGTTAGACTTTCTTACTTACGCACCGTCACAAACTCATTGAGCACCTATGATGCTGAGATGCAAAAAAAGAGGACATTTCTGCTTTTCAGGAGCACCACATTTTGTCTAGTAGGAAACATTAAGTTATTACCAGAGAACTTAAAGTCTGGTAAGGCAGTAGACTTACAGGTCACCTCAGTAGAACAAATTCTTTTCTTCACAAGTAGTCCAAGCTAACGGTGCAGACAAGATGGTGGACAGAGGTAAAAAGGAGAGCAGACTTTTCACTCTGCTATGAGGGATTCAGGACCTATCAGCAGCAAAGGACTGAGAAGTTAATTTTAAACCACTCTCATTTAGTCCTACAACAATCTCTTTGTGACTATGTTTGGGTATACAGATGTCAGGTTTTAAAAATATTTGAGTATATGGAGTATGACTAAACATATTGGAACAACACAAGGATGTCTACTGTCACCATTCTTCTTCAATATAGCTCTGGAAATAGCCAGGAAATAAGACAAGAGAAAGAAATAAAAGGAAGAAGGGTAGGAAACAAAGAAATTAAATTATCATTATTCACAGATGACATGATACTTTACATAGAAGACCCCAAAAACTCCACCCAAAAACTTCTAGATTTAATAACCAAACTCAGCTGCATAGCTGGGTACAAAGTCAACACTCAAAATCAACAGCACTTCTATATTCAAACAACAAACACACTAAGAGAGAAATTAGGAAAACAACACCTTTCACAATAGCATCAAAAAAAAAAAAAAAAGGAAAGAAAGAAATACCTAGAAATCAATCTAATGAAGTAAGTAAAAGGTCTCTACACTGGAAACTACAGTACTCTGAAAAAGGAGTTTGAAAAGGATATCAGAAAATGGAAAGATATCCCTTGTTTTGGGTAGGAAGAACGAATGTAGTAAAAATGGCCATACTTTCAAAACTGTTATACAGATTTACTGCAATCCCAATCAAATTCCAACAACATACTTCACAGAATTAGAGAAAACAACCCTAAAATTTATTTGGAACCAAAAGAGACCTAGAATAGCAAAAGCAATTCTGGGCAACAAAAGCAAAACAAGGTGCATCACAATCCCTGACTTGAAATTATACTACAAAACTATTGTGGCAAAAACAGCATGGTACAGGAAAAAAACAGACCAATGGATCAATGGAACAGATTAGAAGATACACAAAATACTCCAGACATACTCAGACACTTTATCTTTGACAAAGGAGCCAAACACCTTCAGTGTAAGTAAGACAGCCTCTTTTTTTGGGTCTTTTTTGGAACAGGGTCTTGCTATGCAGTTCAGGCTGGCCTTGAACTCACTTTGTAGCCAAGGCTGGTCTTGAACTTGCAACAATCCTCCTGCCTTAGCTTCCAGAGTGCTGGGATTACAGGCATGTGCTATCATACCTGGCTAGCCTCTTTAATAAATGGTGCTGGAAAAGCTGGCTTTCCACATGTGGAAGATTAAAACTAGACACATATCTTTCACCATGCATTCAACTAAAATCAAAGTGGATCAAAGATATAAATATTAAAACAGAAACATTATATCTGCTGGAAGATAGAATAGGTAGAACTCTTGAAGACATTGGTGTAGGCAAAGACTTTATGAACAAAACCCTAATAATACAGGAACTATCATAAAGAATCAACAACGGGGATCTCATCTTATTAAAAAGCTTTTGCACAACAAGAGAAACCACCAACAGGGTGAAGAAACAATCCACACTGTGGGAAAAAAATTTGCCAGCTGTTCCTCAAACAAAGGACTAACATATAATGAACTCAAAAAGTCAGACCCCCCCAATTTAAAGACCCAGTCTAAAAATGGGCATCTAAAATGAATAGACAGTTCTCAGATGAAGAAGTAGAAATAGCAAGCAATTATAAAAAAAAAGTTCAACATCATGCTTCATTTGAGAAATGCAAATTAAAACAACACTGAGATTCCATCTCACCCAAGAAAGAATGGCTATTATGAAGAAATCAACCAATAACAAATGCTGGTGGGGTTGTGGGGAAAAAGAAACCCTTTTCCACTCTTGGTGGGGATGTAGACTGGTGCAACCACTCTGGAAATCAGTGTGGAGATTCCAAAAACTAGGACTAGAGGTCCTATTAGACCCAGCTATTCTCCTTGTTGGTTTCTTCCCAAAAGAATTAGAAGTATCATATGATAACAATATATACATTTTGATGTTTATATCAGCACACTTTGTAATAGCTAAATCTTGGAAACTGCCCAAATGCCCATCAACTGACAAATGGAGAAAGATGTGGTTTTTTTATACAGTGGAGTACTACTCAGCTATAAAGAATAAACTTGAGACCTTTCTAGGTAAATGGATGCACCTTGAGACCATACTCTTAAGTGAAATAAATCAGACACACATGTGTAAATACTGCATTCTCTGGTGTAAACTGGAAGTATAAGGACCAAAAATGTGTAGTAGATACTGTGAAATAGGAAGAAAATGTTCAAATAAGAAGGGGAACAAGGGAGGGGGAGGAGGAAAGGAAGGAAGGGAAAAGCGAAAAACAAGAAAATAAGGAAAAAATGGAAACAATATGTTTGTAAATAAGGAGGGGAAGAGGGGTTGAAGAGGCGGGAATGGGAAAAAAAAGAATCAAGGTATATCGTGTACAGGTACAAATTCTCCATGATGAACGTGATCATTATGTATACCTAAAATGTACCAATAAACTTAATTAATTAAAAAAAACTATTTCAGCTGGGGACAGAGGCACATGCCTGGAATCCCAGCATGTTGGAAGGCTGAATCACGTCTGCAAGTTCAGTGCCTGCCTGGGCACTTCAGTGAGACTCTGTTTCAAAAAATAAAAGAGGGCTGGGGATGTAGCTCGGTGGGAAGTCCCTGGGTTCAATCACCAGTGCTGCAGAACAAATACATAAATAAATGCTTTCCCTCGAGGGGTCTGTACTGGTGAGTCTCGAACCCATTTCTTCAGCTGTACCGTAGGGTGTCTCAGAACACAGTGGCTTAACCCACATTTCCTGGGGAAGGCAAGAGTGCCAAGAAGCTGAGCAGGCACAGGGTGCACTGGACTGGACGCTCTCAAGCCAGGAGCCGCGGGCACACTTACTCTCCACGATGGCGCTTATGTAGTGGTTCAGGATGTCCACCAGCTGCTCGGCCCCTCGGTCCATGTACATGGCTGTGCTGAACTTCTCCGTCATCGCGGTGAAACCTAAACAAACAGTTGTTTTCTGGGCTGCTCGGAGGAACCAAGGAGAGCCGCAAGAAGGATATGCTGGCAGAGTTTCTTTTCTCCCTCCCTCTCCTCTCCTTCTCTTTCTCTCCTTCCTTCCTTCCTCCTTCCCTCCCTTCCTGGCTTCCTCCCTTTCCTCCCTCCCTCCCTTCCTTTCTCTCTTTCTTTCTCAGTACTGGGGCTTGATCCCAGGGTCTTCACACTGAGTTACATTCCCAGCGTCAGCTCCTTTTCTGAAACAAAGTCTCTAGTCGGGCATGGTGGTGCACACCTGTAATCCCAGCACTCGGGAGGCTGAGACAGGAGGATCCTTGTGAGTTCAAGCCCGGCCTAGGCTACAAAGTGAACTCAACACCAGCCTGAACTACATAGTGAGACCCTGTCTCAAAAAAAAGGAGATTAAGTTACTAAGTCACCCAGGTTGGCCTTCAACTTGTGATCATCCTGCCTCAGCTTTGAAAGTGCTGGTATTACAGGCATGCACCATCATGCCTGATCTTTTTTTACATCTTCATAGTAAACTTGCTAGCCTTTCAGAAGAGTTCGAAATGCGTGTGTTTTCATTACCATGGGATATAAATTCGATTTCCACTTAAAGGTAGTGCAGTCATCACTACAGACATCGAGCATCTAGGGAAGAACTATTTGTTTTTTTTTGTTTGTTTTTTTTTTGTTTTTTTTGTTTTTCTCCAGTACTAGGAACCGAACTCACGACCTTGCGCTTGCCAGGCAGGCGCTTTTGCTGCTAAGCTAAATCCCCAGCCCCAGGGAAGAACTATTTGGAACCTTTCCCTGACCTCATAATCAACACTGACAGAGGAGGCTGTGTGTCTGAAGCCTGACCAGCCACAAAGAAAATTGCTCAGAAACCCTGAGCGAGGCATGCTGATACACTTTGGGAACTGAGGCGTGAGGCTCATGCATAGGCAAGACTGTCTCAACATAAAGAAAAATATAAAAGAGCTGAGAATATTATCTCAGTCATAGAGCATCCTTGCGCTCACTGCTCAGTCTCCAGCAAAACACACACACATACACACACACATAAAGATCTAGGGAGATCACTTCCTGAGGTCAGGATTTTGCTTTTGCATGTGGTGCTGGGGACTGAACCCCGGATGTACCTCAGAGGGGTTTAAAAAGATCTTCAGATCTTTTTAAAATGTTATTTTGAGACAGGGTCTTGCCTCAGCCTCTGGAGCAGCTGGGATTACAGGCATGTGCCACTGTGCCTGGACTGAGGTCAGTTTTGTCAGGGACATGTGAAGTTGGGGCAGGAACCCTAGAGCCTTAAGCTTTGGGTGTCTTAAAGATCTCCCCAGGACTGGGATCTGGGGAAGCGAATGTGAGGGGTGCCAGGCCCCAGAGCCTGCTCCTGTCTGTGGTCACAGGCCAGACACTTGCACACAGCCCCTCACTCGGCCCTCAAGTCTTCATGGGAACTCGGATGCAAACCTGTCACCCACATTAGCCACACATCCTTTTGGTACTTGCCTGAAATATCCACGAACATCAGGACGCCATCAAAATAATCCACAGAAGGTCGCTCTGGGGAGAAATTCCCATAGACAATGAGGTCCGGTAAGTGAGCTGCTAGTCTGACGATGGTGTTGTCCTGTGAGTCTTTCTGAGTCGTCATACTCAAGGCCAATGTCTAGAAACCCTTGGTGGCAGGAAGCAGTACCCACGAGGTCTTCTAGGAAAAAAGTTGGGAATGGAGGAAATCTGATATTTGCTCACCACTGTCCTACTTATTTTTTCTCCTTTGGTCCTGTTGCAACCTGTGATTGCTTATTTAAGGTGACTGCTGGTGACACTGCCAGAGTTGGTGAGTCATATTTCAAAGGGATACCTCCTCTGTTTTTTTTGCATTTCTGGGGATCAAGCCCAGGGCCTTCAAGCTGAGCTATATCTCCCTGCCCTTTTTAAAATTCTTGACATAGTGTTTCACTAAGTCTCTAAATTGCCCAGGCTGAGCTTGAACTTTGTGATCCTCCTCTCTCAGCCCCCAAGTGCTGGGATTACAGGTGAGTGCCACCTTGCCTGAAAGGACCACTTTTCTATTCAGAGGGAAAACCCTCACAGACTGGACCTCCAACCCTCAACACTGTTACAAAAATGAGCCCCATTGCCAGAGGCATGTGCATACTGGGTCCATGCATTATCATAGAGGGGTTAGCCTTCACGGCAGGCCTGGGTAGATGGCTGTGGTGGTTAATTTCTGTTATCAGCTTGAATGGATGAAAAGATGCTGAGAGGCGTGATTAGGCTGGGAGGGTGCTGACTTCATTTCTGAACTAACCGCTGATGAGATCGTAGCTGAATGGGCTATTGGGAGGTGAGCCCCATCTGGAGAAAGTAGGTCATTCGGGTGCGTCTTTGAGGAGTGTCTCCTCGCCAGCTCTTTCCTTCCCTCTCGGCTTCTTGACTGCCATAAGGCAAGGACCTTTCCTCCACCTTGATGCTCCTGCCTTGGAACCAGCCCACCATGGACTGAGACCACTGAAGCTGTGAGCCAAATAAACCTCTCTTCCTTTTGGCTGACTTACTTTGTCAGGGATTTTGTCCCAGTGACGGAAATCTGACTGACATAGTGGGCCAGTAACACTGCTCACACAGACCAAACTCCTTCTGCTGTATTCTTGTTTCCTGTCCTCCCCACACCTCTCCCTTTTGGCCCCTCGTCTTTTGTCTCTTCTTCTTGAAAATTAAAAGTATAGCTGTAGTTTATGTGTGTGTATATCCATATATGAATATTACAGTCCTATGTACAGGCAATGAAACATACTAAGGTATAATGTTAAGCACAGTGAGGGAGACGATTCCAAGAGTGAGTGTGGGGAGGCGTGGGTGGGCCACAGCTGGGCAGGCAGAAGACCTGCAGCTCTATGTGGAAGGAAATGCTAAACATTTCAATTTGCCCCCTGGCTAGTTCTGAGAAAACTAAGATTTCCTAAGGGCTTCCTTTAGCTGCCAGAGGAGATTAAATGCTCATGACTAACTATAGTTAAAAACCATGCTGTACCAGCCTGAACACTCATAGCATCAGCAGTTTTTTCACAGCAAACCATGTGTTCCTGGAATAAATGATACAGAAAATAAGAGGACCCCCTCCCCAATTAAAAAAAAAAAAAACCAAAAGACAAATACCAGCAAATACTATAATCCCAGCACTTGGGAGGCTGAGGCAGGAGGACTGCTGTGAGTTTGAGGCCAGTCTGGGCTACACAGAGAAACGCTGTCTCAAAAATAAAACAAAACAAAACAACAAAACAAAAAACGGTTTTCAACACCCACCCCACCCCCCACCCCCCCACCGCTCCACTCAGTACTGGGGGTTAGCAGAATGGAATAGGACCCCATAGGCTCACAGTAGTCATGCCTTCTGGCAGGGGTTGGTGGGCACAGTCTGGGTTCCCCAGGTGCGTGGGACTGACAGACCCTGCAGATTATGCTGTACAGTAGTGCCTGCACTTCTGGATTTTAAAAGACAAGGCCACATGGGGATTCCAGGAAACATGGGCTGGCTCATAGGTGTCACTGAAGCTCCCGAGGTCCTGCTTCCTTAACAAGCGAGTCCAAAATCTCAATGGCTTGAAATGATAAAGGCTTGTTTCTTATTCATTTTTTGCTTCTATTACATATCCAGTGTAGGCAGGCTGGGATTCTGTGTTCACTTTAGAACTGAGACTGGGACGTTGCAGTGGCCAAGGCAGTGGGGAAGAGGATGCAGTGGGATAGGGTTATTCTCCCAGAAGTGACATACTTCACTTCAAAATTGATCCGAGCAGGTTCCACAGACACAGCTAATTTCATGTGAGTGGAGAAGTACAATCCTACCATCAACAGATGAATGGATAGAAAAAATGTGATGCACGCATGCACTGGAATACTATTCAGCCTTGACAAAGAAATGAAACTAGAGGACATTATGTTACGTGGAATAAGCCAGGCACAGAAAGATAAATATGACCTGATCTCACTCAGGTGTGGTGCACCCAGAGAGGCAGAAAGGAGTCTGGTGGTTGCTGAGGTCTGAGGTAGGGTAGGGGAGACAGGAAGACGTTGGATGAGGGGTGCCAGGGTTCAGTAAGATGAATATATTCTGAAGATCTAACGTCTGACATGGTGAGTCGATAATTATGTACTGCATACTTTAACTTTGCTAAATACTAAATGTTCTCATCACAAAAGGGTGCTAAGTATGTAAGGTGATGGATATATATTAAACTTGATTTAATCATTTCACAATATATACACATATCAAAATATCATGTTCTATACCATGAATACATACAACATTGTTAATTTTACCTTCTTAAAGCTTGGGGGCATAAACTTAAAAAATAATTGGAGGGAGAGCTAATTACTGAATGATAGAACTAGGATTTTTTCCCCCCAATACCAGGGGGATTGAACCCAAGGCCTGAGGTACATCCCAGCCTTTTTTTATTTTTTCAGACAGGGTCTCAAGTTGCTATTGGGCTCAACCCTGTGATGTGTTTGTGCATTATTACGCCCAGCTCAGAACTAGGATCTGAAAACCTTTTTTTGGTGCAGGGACTTACACACACTAAGTGTGTGCACTCCTACTGAGCTATACTTCCAGCCTTAAAGTACTTTAATCAACTGAAATAAAAATAAAAATTCAAAACAATAAATGCACAGTGCTGTACTGAGAATTTTTAACAAAATCAAATGTGTAAGCATATGGTCTGAAAAATTAGTTTTACTGAAAATTAATATGATTTTTTAAAAAAACTTTTATTAAAGCATAATGTAAAACAGAAAATTACAGAGATCCTAAGAGAACACCTTGAGTTACTATCAGATGGACAAACCCGTGTGCTACCTCCTTATATCAAGAAGGGCTGTAGCCAGCACTCCAGAAGTTCTCTTCATGTATTTCCTGGTCACTATCCCTCTCTTCTCCCAGAAGGTAACCTCTTTTCTGATCTCTGAGGTCATAGATTACCTTCACCAGTTTTTAAACTTTATGCAAATGGAACCATACTATATCCTTTTCTCCTGAAATGTTTCTGATACTCATTTATGTGCCTGTATGCATATTGCTAATGATTGGTTTTCAATGCTGTTTGCATTCTATCACCTCATTATACTGCTAAGTATTTAGCCATTCCACTATTTCTCTGAGTTTTCCAGTTTTGGCTCCTAGAACATTGTGTATACATTTTTTTGCTGGTCTCATTCCTTCTCTATATATACATGTATATTTTTTCTGCCTTTTTTGTTTGTGTGTTTTGGTGCTGGCAGTTAAGTTCATTGCCTTCCCGAAGTTGCTATGTGGCTACCATGGCTTTCTGCACCATAGTCCGCCCTGTGTCCTCCAGGGTGTACTTTTATCACGTTTTTTCCTTTTACTCATCCCATACTTGCTCTGCAGAGCCAGTTTCTCCCTCACTCTTCACTTTTACTTTTTCAAACAAACTTTGAAAAAACAAAGAACAACAACAACAAAAAACCCAAACAAACTACAAACCAAAGCTGCAGTGAGAGCTGGGTATGAGAGTTCGGTTGCTATTTTGTTTTGGTAGATAAGTGCTGCTATTTTATTATTTATTTATTTATTTTGGTGGTGCTGGGGATTGAACCCAGAGTTTTTGCACGAAGGTACATCCCCAGTTGTTTTTATTTTCATTTTAAAACAGGGTCTCACTAAGTTGCTAAGTTGCCCTGGCTGGGCTTGAACTTTCAGTCCTGTTGCCTCAGTTTCCCTGAGGGTTTACAAGTGTACACTACCATGTCCAGCTGCCTGTTGGCCATTTTGAAGGCAATACAATCTTAAGGTACATAGTGTTCAAATTTGATCCAGAAAATTGGATTTAATCTGCTTATTTTACCTGAAGTATATTGACTATGGGGCATGAAGAATAATGGGAAAGATTGGAGATGTTAAGTCAGGAGAGGAAGAGATGTGGGTTAACATAATAGTTGTCTTCAAATATTTGGGCCATACTTAAAGTAGTGGGGAAGTAGGAGACACAGGTCCCCATACAAAGTCTGACGTGGGCCCCTACAGTCAACAAATAACTCTCTGCTTGCCCCGTAACCTAGAGATTTCGTTTGGCTCCACATGAATGAAGTTCATGGGAGAAGTGCAGTGGGAAAGTTGACAATTTTTCTTCTGCAGAGTGAAAAGTTTATTAATGAATAAATGGGGGGCTGGGGGTTTAGCTCTGCGGCACAGTGCCTGCCTGGCAAGCTCAAGGTCATGAGTTCGATTCCCGGTACTGGGAAAAACAAAAAAACAAAAAAAATTTGACTTTTGAGCTGGTGGTTTAGATCAGCGGCACAGAGCCTGCCTGGCAAGCGCAAGGTTGTGAGTTTGATTCCCGGTACCGGGGGAAAAAAAAAAAAAAAAAAAAAAAAAAAAAAATAAATAAATAAATAAAGGGCTGGGGGTGTAGCTCAGTGGTAGAACGCTCCAGGTTCATTCCTCAGTCCCACCAAATTAAAAAATAAATAAATAAATCTAATGAATAAATGGCTTTCAACAGGATGCTTGCTACTTTATTTGTTTTGAGACAGGGTCCCGTTATGTAGTTCAAGCTGGCCTTGAATTCACTGTATAGCTCAGGCTGGCCTTGAGCTCTCAGTGATCCTCCTGCTTCTGCTTCCCCCAGTGCTGGCTAGGATGCTTTTTATAGACATGGATGTTCTGAAAAAGCTTCCACA